ACAATTAATGCTAATAGAAGTTTTCAAGCTAAACAAAATTAATAACAGAGTAAAGATAGGGAATAAAAACTAAAAGCAATAGAAAGAGTAAACATAAAGGCAAAGAACTTTGTTTAAAAGACTATTGCTTTTAAGAAAAATCATAACAATGTGTGCATAAGTTAAATATATGACCACCAAGGGGGAAATGGTAGGGAGGGGACAAAGGAAATTTATGGATATAAGATTTTTATTTTGTCTGGGAAATAATAAAATATTAATTTTAAATATTATTAACTGTAATAAGATGCATTTTTAAATCTCTATAAAAATCACCAAAACATAACAGATAAGGATAGCAAAAATATCAACATGGCATAAAAATGGAATACAAAAAATACTTGGTTTCCTAAAAGAAACACAGGAAACAAGAAACGAAGAGATTAAAAAAAGATGGAAGTAATAGAAAACAATGTTAACAGTTTTGACTTAAATCCAACTAAATCAATAATTACAACAAATATAAATGGAATGAATGCTCTAATTAAAGGGAAGAGACTGTTAGATTAGATTTTTATGAAAAGCAAACCCATTTATATGCTGTTTACAAGAGGCACACTTTAAATATAAAGACTACAATTGTTTATTTACATAAAAAATAAGGAAAGATATATCATGCAAGCACCAGCAAAAGAAAGCTAGTGTGGGTGTGGCTGTGTTAATATGAAAGTAATACTTATTAGAACTAGGCAAATGTGGGAGACAGATGCCCCCCAACACACACACACACACACACACACACACACACAGAGTGGGGGGGGGGAGAAAGAGAGAGAGAGAGAAAGATGCACAGAGAAGACGTCCACATCCTAATTCCAGGAGCCTGTAAATATGTTAATAAACATGGCAAAAGGGATTTTGCAGAGATTATTAAGTAAGAATCTTTAAATAAGAAGTTTATCCTGAATTATCTATGTGGTCACTATATATTCACAAAAATTCATGAGTGAGGAAAGAGAATGCAGGCCAAGGAATGAAAGTTATTTCCAAAAGCTAGAAAAGACAAGAAAAAAGATTCTTTCCCAGGGTTTCCAAGAAGAATGCAGACTTGCCAGCCCATTTTAGGACTGGTAATTCCAAAACTAAAAGAGAATAAATTTGTAGTGTTTTAAATCTAAGCTTGCATAATTTGGATAGCAACAATAGGTAACCAATACAAAATTATTTAGTAAGGTCCCATAATACAATGTCAGTATACAAAAATGAATTCCATTTTCATGTACTAGCCATGAATGATTAGGAAATGACATTTTTAAAACACTGTAAAGGACATATAAAAATATTAAATACTTATAAATAAGTCTAATAGATTATATGCATGACTAAAGACAAAAAAAAACAGAAGCATAAACTCTTAGAAGAAAAACAGAAAAATAATTTTGCAACCATGGGATAGGCAAGATTTAATGGACAAGTCACAAGAGCACTATACATTTTAAAATTAAAATATTTTAAAGGTTTGTAGTAGGATGAGGCAGGGTTTCTACACAGTCTGGAAGAAGAATTTCTCTTTTGGAAAACCTTAGTTTTTTTGCTCTTAGGGCCTTCCACTGATGGGATGAGACTTATCCACATTGCCTCCTTTCCTTAAAAATCAACCAATCATGGATGTTAATGGCATCTACAAAATGCTACACAGATACACACAGTGTATATTTGTTTTCACAAATACAAAAACCTAGGATAATATTTGATTAAATATTATAGCCTAGCCAAATTGACACATGAAGTTAATCACCACCATTATCATTAAGAAAATGAATTAAGGCATGTTTGGGGGAAAAATTTATAATACTTTTTCTTTCTGACAAAAGACGCATGGATTCTTTTAAATTAAAAAATAGTAACAACACAATTTAAAAACTGGAAAGACTTGAACAGATGCTTTAAAGAAAAGATATTTAAGATGACCAAGAGTAAATAAAATGATTTTTAATATTACTTGATATTAGGGAATTGAAAATTAAAATCACAGTGTTGACATCATTGTGTACCCATTACAATATGTAAGATCAAAAAGGATGACAATACCAGAAGTTGACAAGAATGTGGAACAATTGGAACTTTCCTACATGGTCTGTGGGAGTGAACAACAGTAAAATCACTTGGAAGAACCATTAGGCAGGTTCTCATAAAATTAAGTATATATCTAACCTATAAACTACCAATTCTACTTTTAGGTTTACGTTCAAAGAAATATTGATAATAAGTTCAATAAAAGACTATGCAAGAATGTCTATGGTAGCCTTATTCTAAAGAGGCAGAAACAAGAAAGATTCAAATGTCCATCTACAGGAAAATGAATAAAAATTGGGGAAATATGTTGTGTTAAGACATATTACCAAACACTATAACACAAGGTACTATTGCTATATGCAACAACGTGGATGAGTCTCAAAAACATACTGTGAGGAAACAACAGATATAGAATGCACGTTTGAGTCTGGCATAGTGGTACATGCCTGTAGTCCCCAGTTACTCAGGAAGCAGAAGGCTTGTATCATCCCAGAAGTTTTGAGTCAAGCCTGGCATTGTAGCAAGACCCGTCAAAGGAAGGAGGGTGGGAAGGAAGGAAAGAAGGAAGGAAGGAAGGAGGGAAGGAAGGAAGGAAGGAAGGAAGGAAGGAAGGAAGGAAGGAAGGAAGGAAGGAAGGAAGGAGTGAGGGAGGGAGGGAGGGAAGGAGGGAGGGAGGGAGACTGAGGGAGACAGAGGGAAAGGAAAAAGAGAGAGGGAGGGAGGAAGGAAGGGAGGGAGAAAGGAAGGGAGGGAGGGAGCGAGAAGAAGAAAGGGAGGGAGGAAAGGAAGGAAGGGAGGGAAGGAAGGTAGGAAAGGAGGGGATGAGGGAAGGAGGAAGGGAGGAAGGGAGGGAGGGGGGAGGAAGGGAAAGAAGGAAGGAAGGAAAGGAAGGAGGAAGGGAGGAAGGGAGGGAAGGAGGAGGGAGAGATGGAAGGAAAGAAGGAAAAAAAGAAGGAAGAAAGGAAGGAAGGGAGCAAAGGAGGGAGGGAGAGAGGAGAGAAGAAAGGAAAAAGAAAAGAAAAACACTTTCTGAATTATCAAACCTGTACGAAGTCCAGAAATAGGCAAAACTGATCTACAAAATATACATCAAAAGGGATTGTACTGGAGGAGCAACAAGAGTGAATTCACTAGAAAAGGCATGAAGAAAGTTTCTGGGGTGAAGGAAGTGTTCTGTATCTCATTTGGGGTGCTAGTTACAAAAGAATGTACAGCTGTCAAAACGTGTCTAACTGAACTTCAACATGAATGTCTAAGGTCACTGCATTTTATTGTTCGTGAATTATCCCTAAATGGGAAAAAGGGGAAAGAAAGACATAACAGCTTTTTGAAGCTTCATTTTATTGCTTCACAGGGGCAGCTTACAAAGTTAGATTAGAAACAGGGAGACTCAGAAGAAGGTGCTGGCTTTTCCCCCAGAGAAAACAGCATGCTGCTTTACAGCATCCTTTTTATCCCCAGAGACAGCGGAGTAAAAATAGTCTAATTGCTTTTCTCTGAAACAAAACAGATCAAGTCTAATCAATGTGTGATGATTATTGCTGAAAGAACCGAAGTTTGACACACAGAAGCAGTTTCATTCAATCTTTGCCTAAACTTTTACACTGTTACACATTTTAAATGGGAGTCAATTGAAAATGAAGGCAATTTTAGGTTTTGGTTTTTTGGGGAATTTAAAATAATAACATTTATGTTAATCCTATCTTAAGTATATAGTATCTTAAAGTCAGCCACAGACAAAACAAAGCTTCATGAACACACGGGATACCAGGGGGATGGTTTCCTTAGAAATGTTACCCGGAGGCAGGGCGCGGTGGCTCACGCCTGTAATCCCAGCACTTTGGGAGGCCGAGGCGGGTGGATCATGAGGTCAAGAGATCGAGACCATCCTGGTCAACATGGTGAAACCCCGTCTCTACTAAAAATACAAAAAATTAGCTGGGCACAGTGGCGCATGCCTGTAATCCCAGCTACTCAGGAGGCTGAGGCAGGAGAATTGCCTGAACCCCGGAGGCAGAGGTTGCGGTGAGCCGAGATCGCGCCATTGCACTCCAGCCTGGGTAACAAGAGCGAAACTCCGTCTCAAAAAAAAGAAAAGAAAAGAAATGTTACCCGGATGTATTAAGAACTTGGCTCAAATTCATGGTAACAGTCACACAAAGACTTGGTGCTAGGTTGCCTAGAGTATTACTGTGGACTACATGTAGGATTTAACTAACTTATAACTAACTAATCATAATCAACCAATTATAAATTAGCAAAACCCTACATGTAGTCCACTAAAAAGTTGTTTATTCTTTGAAAGAATTTATCTAGCACCATTGAACATACATATCTCATACTACCCATAAGTAAATACACATATGTTTATGTATATATGATTAATAATATAACATCCGGCATTTTGAGGAATTGAAATTGCTGGAATGCTCAACATCATTTTTCAGTGATGACAGTAGCAAATCTTCTGACAGAGATTGAAGCAAGAGTAATGATGTAGATGTTTATTTTGGAAGATATTTTCTAGGGAGAGAGTTTTAAACAAAGATATATGACTTGAATCCTAGGGCTGAAAGGAATTAGGGGTCATCTGGTTCATCTTCCATGCCCAAACCAGAACTCTCTCTGCTGATGAGAGAGTTCTGGTTTGGGCATGGAAGATGAACCAGATGACCCCTAATTGGTCTGATGACCAACCTGTCTCTGCTTGAAAGGTAGAGACCAACCTGCCTCTACTTTGGAAGTCAGCCCAGTGAGCTTCCTCTCGGGAGAAAAATGGATGTAGAGTTCCAGATACTGACTGTATTCAGTCTGTTGTTACAAGCTCTCAAGCTAAAAGGTCACATAACATCAAAACTGGAGATGCAAATACAGTTGAGGGAGGGAGAACTGAGACAGCAAATAAAGAAGAGGAAGCCAAGTTACCAAAAACAGAATGACAGAGAATGAGGAACAGGGAGAAGCAGACACAGGAAGCTATGCAGTCCCAGACAAATTTGCCTTGCTTCCTGACTGTTTCTCTATGCTTCCTCAACCAAACACTCCAATTTTCTATCCTTGGGTATTTTGAATTGTATGCCATTTGATGTGAAGCCTTTCAGAAAATGCAAAATCAAAGAGAATTATCTGAGGTGGTGACTGTAGAAGCGACGAATTATCTCACCTCCCAAGCACTGGTCTCAGGGTCGTTTTTTGGGGATGAAGAAAGATATTAGAGTTTTCAGAGGATAGAATATAAGCAAGAAGAAGCCAAGGGAGGTAAGACTTTGACTATCTGTCAGTGCTACCATAAAATTGGACCCAATTTTATGAATATAGAGTATTCCCATAAAAACAAGGATCTTTTAAACTAAAAGTAGTGAATATTCTCTTTTAAGTGAAAGGTGGCTGGCTTGGGCTTTTTAAAATGCCTCTTAATTTTACACATTATCCAGCAGTTCTGATGTACTGAGTGACTATGGCAGATAGAAATACTATGTCAAACCCTTTACATGCCCCTAAAGGTAGATTATAGTTCATAAATTAAGATTTTTGAAGCAAATATATACTCTGTAAGACAGCTCTCCTTTAACAAATAGCTTCTGGTTTTCTACTGAGACCTAGTAGAAACTCAATGTTTGACCACGGGACTGTGAGTTACAATATAATATGGGTTCCCTATCATAAACTCAGTGTTGTCTCACCTAACCGGCAGTTTGGTGGTTTGGAAATATTATTTTGTTCTGCAAAATTATGAGTGGAAGAAAAAAACATAGAGATTGTAATGTAAGAGTTGGTCAAATATTTTAGCAGCTTGATCAGAAGTAAATACATTAGAGAAACATATTAACTTTATAATCTTTGTCCAAGAAAATATGTTCACTTCCTTCATTCAATTTCAGGTAAATGGTAAATTCACTATTATTTTGTGTAACATTGTGTATTAGTTTAAAGGCAACTTTTTCCCTTAATTCGTCCTTGTTACTCACTCTGGACAGTTTTGGGTGCTTCTTTCTCATATTTCTACTCTCTATGTATATGTTTTCCTCAACAATATGTATACACCTTCATAATTGTAGGCATTTTTTTTCAGGTTTCATCTCCAGGAAAAGAAATTTATCTCAAAAGTAGCGTATTGCTGACTTAGAAATCCAATTCTGTCACGTCTGTGTAAAAGAGTGCCTTTAAGTATAATTCAGTGATGTGGAATAGATAAGTTTCAGATATTTACCAAGAAGTCAGAGTATATTTTTTTCTTCAAGAAAAGGAATTTAGCAATTATATATTTTACAGTTTTGTTAATCCCTATTGAGTGCCAAAAATAGAAAACTACAAAAAGACACTGCCTAAAACATACTGGATCTACCCTAGTTATAACCACTTATCAAAACCATGTTTAAAAGAAATTCTTTATTTAAACAAAAAAGAAAGATGAATAAATAATTCAATGCTTAAGAGGACTAAAAAATATTTCATTTTAATATCCTTCTAATTTAAATAAATGTCCTACTTTAAAAAGAGCCACCACTCTCATAAAATTGCCATGGAACATAAATCGGCAGAAGCATTTGATAAAGAATGTGGGAACAGGTATCAATGTTTAAATGCATATGCCCACCTATATCTTTTCTTGAATTATATCCAGAGACAATAATTGGACAAAATGTAGGTGTATCTCTCTATATCTACGCACACATCTTTTTGTGTGTTAGCAACAATTTTCACAAAATAGACTTTATAATAGTAACAATTTGAGAACATCCTAAATATCACAGAGGAATAAACGAACACAACATGGCATATCTAATCAACAGAATACTATTCATCATTAAAATATATTTTTAATAATCAACATAGAAACAAATTCTTAATAAATGTCCATATAAGAAGAGCAGTTGCAGAGCAGCATCTATAGCATGTATTAATGCAGGGTGCAAGGAACACATAAGCATTCCATGCATACCAAGATAGATGTGGAAAGGGAAGTTTCTAGAAAATGTTAACAGTAGCTACCTCTCTATGAAGAGAATCTAGGTGATTTTACGTCTTTTAAAATTCTTATTTATTATTAATAGTAAGCATGTATAATTTTACACAATCAAAACCACTGTAGCATTATTTTTTCTTATTTTAAATAAAGACTGTATCTGGATGCAGCCTAGCAAAATGAGTGAAGCTTATGTACCTTGAATGCAAAGAAATTCCCTGCCTATTAACTTTCATGTGAACAAGCCATGTTCTCATAATAATGCTTTTGTTAAAATCAGTTTTATTGACTGTGCAGCTCTGCCTGGCTGAAGTGTCTTTTAGCCACTTTTATACAAATAAGTAATGTATACTTAGAACACTTAGGACACCTGATTGGGTTGAAAATATTCTATACCTGTGTAAAGATGAGGAAATAAAGATCCCTTGAAACTTTGTGCTAAAAACATGTATTAAAGCAAGGGGAATTGAAGTGATTTTTTTTCTATGTACTTAAGAAGCTATCATGAATTGAATTTTGAATCATTATATTACCATACTTACTTTATTTAAACAAATAACAAATAATACTTGGGAGATGTTTATTTATTTATTTTGTTTTTTATTTATTTATTTTGAGACGGAATTTCACTCTTATTACCCAGGCTGTAGTGCAATGGCGCGATCTCGGCTCACTGCAACCTCCGCCTCCTGGGTTCAGGCAATTCTCCTGCTTCAGCCTCCCAAGTAGCTGGGACTACAGGCACGCACCACCATGCCCAGCTAATTTTCTGTATTTTTGGTAGAGACGGGGTTTCACCATGTTGACCAGGATGGTCTCGATCTCTTGACCTCGTGATCCACCTGCCTCGGCCTCCCAAAGTGCTGGGATTACAGGCTTGAGCCAGATGTTTTTAACTATCAAGTCATTCAATGTTTATATGATTAGCTAACAGACTATGGTACCTTATTAAGTTATTCAAAACTACGTAAGAGGAGGAGCACATATTCTGAAAGAAACACTGGCTGACAGTCTGACACATTCTCACAATGAGTGAAATGATTTGAAAGTAAGACTAAATAGAAAAGCCAGGATATTGTTGATATCATGAGTAAAATAATTTTTTGAGAGGCTTCTTTTTTTATTGTACAATATATATGGACAAATTATTTCCTTTTTTATTATACTTTAAGTTCTGGGGTACATGTGCAGAACATGCAGGTTTGTAACCTAAATATACACAGGCCATGGTGGTTTGCTGCATTCATCCCCCCTCATCCACATTAGGTATTTCTCCTAATGTTATCCCTCCCCACTCCCCCCACCCCCGTTATCCCTCCCCTGGCTTCCCCACCCCACAACAGACATCAGTGTGTGATGTTCCCCTCCCTGTGTCCATGTGTTCTCATTATTCAACTCCCACTTAAGAGTGAGAACATGCAGTATTCGGTTTTCTGTTCTTGCATCAGTTTGCTGAGATTGATGGTTTCAGCTTCATCCATGTCCCTGCAAAAGACATTCATTCATTCTTCTTTATGGCTGCATAGTATTCCATGGTGTATATGTGCCACATTTCCTTTATCCAGTCTATTATTGATGAGCATTTTGGTTGGTTCCAAGTCTTTGCTATTGTAAACAGTGCCACAGTGAACATATGTGTGCATGTGTCTTTATAATAGAATGATTTATAATACTTTGGGTATATATCCAGTAATGGGATTGCTGGGTCAAATGGTATTTCTATGTCTAGATCCTTGAGGAATCGTCACACTGTCTTCCACAATGGTTGAACTAATTTACACTCCCACCAACAGTGTAAAAGTGTTCCTATTTATCTACATCCTCTCCAGCATCTGCTATCTCCAGATTTTTAAATGATTGCCATGCTAACTGGCATGAGATGGTATCTCAATGTGATTTTGATTTGCATTTCCCTAATGACCAGTGATGATGAGCATTTTCTGTGGCTGCATAAATATCTTCTTTTGAAAAGCATCTGTTCATATCCTTTGGCCACTTTTTGGTGGGGTCGTTTGTTTTTTTCTTGTAAATTTGTTTAAGTTCTTTGTAGATTCTGGATATTAGCCTTTTGTCAGATGGGTAGATTGCAAAATATTTTTCCCATTCTGTTGGTTCCAAATTCAGTCTAATGAGAGTTTCTTTTGCTGTGCAGCAGTTCTTAAGTTTAATTAGATGCCATTTGTCTCTTGGCTTTTGTTGCCATTGCTTTTGGTGGTTTAGTCCTAATTGAATACACTTTATTCCTTTTTCTTCCCTGATTGCTTTGGCCAGAACTTCCAATACTATGTTGAATAGGAGCAGTGAGAGAGGGCACCCTTGACTGTGCCAGTTTTCAAAGGGAATGCTTCCAGTTTTTGCCCATTCAGTATGATATTGGCTGTGGGTCTGTCATAAATAGCTTTTATTATTTTGAGTTACATTCCATTAATATATAATTTATTGAGAGTTTTTGGTATAAAGGCTGCTGGATTGTGTCGAAGGCCTTCTCTGCATCTATTGAGATATTCATGGTTTTTGCCTGTGATTTTGTTTATGTGATAGATTATGTTTAAACTTGATCATGATGGATAAGCTTTTTGATGTGCTGTTGGATTTGGTTTGCCAGCATTTTACTGAAGGATTTTGCAACAATGTTCATCATGGATATTGGCCTGAAATTCTCTTTTTCAGTTGTGTCTCTGCCTGGTTTTGGTATCAGGATGATGTTAGTCTCATAAAATGAGTTAAGGAGGATTCCCCCCTTTTGTATTGTTTGGAATGGTTTCAGAAGGAATAGTACCAGCTCCTCTTTGTACCTCTGGTAGAATTCAGCTGTGAACTCATTTGGTCCAGGATTTTTTTGGTTGGTAGGCTATATGGGACCCAACAGCACGCCAAAAAGCAACTTAAATAAATTGTCACACTACCACTTATTCACTTAAAATAACAATCCTGACTTTCTTACAATTGTTGCATCAGGAATTCAGGCAGAGCTCCTCTGGGCAGTTCTTAGGCCACACCTAGTGTGAGCTGTGAACACTCATGAGGTTACAGTCAGGCAGAGGAGGGGGATAAAACATCCAAGATGGCAGCTTCACTACAGGACTGGTGCTTTGGTCAGAATGGATGGAAGACTGACCTCTCTTTTTCTCTCTAACTTTCTCTCTCTCTCTGTCTGTCTCTCTCTATATATATATATGTGTGTGTCTCTCTCCATGTGGCTTGTTTTTATATGCCTATTTCTTATTCTTCTTCAATTTTTATTTGAAAATTAGGGAATACCTGTGCAGGTTTGTTACAAAGATATATTGTG